GTGAAGGTTATCTGGTCCAACTGCTTTATTTTCATTGAGCATTTTAAGTCTATGTTCTATTCCGCTATTCAGTCAACCATTGTGGTATATTATCGGTTGAACAATGTGTTTTATCACGTACGTCGAACCCGTTTCCCTCCTGAGTGTATACTGAGGAGAAAAAATTGTTCAGCGCCTCGGCCCTCTCCTTGTCACTTGTGAGTAACTTCCCGTTTTCGTCCTTTATTGGGCCTATCTGCTCCTTTCTTACCTTTTTACTGTTAATATATTGGTAGAATTTTTTAGGTTTTTTTTTACTATCTGCGGCGATATGCTTTTCGCATTCTATTTTAGCTTCCCGGATTACTAGTTTGCATTTTTTGTTACATTCCTTGTATTTAAGGAACGCCAATGCCGTCCCTTCCATCTTATATTTTATAAATGCCATTCTCTTTGCCTTAACATGTAGTTTTACAGTTTTATTTAGCCATATCGGTTTAGTCTTTGATCTTTTGTTTTTGTTACCCAATGGTATACACTTTGAAATGGCAATATGTAATGTGTTCCTGAAGCAGTCCCACATTTGGTCTGAGTTTAGGTTGTGAAATGAGTTATCCCATTTTATTTCCCCCACTAGTTTGCGCAACTTATCGAAGTTTGCCCTTCTGAAATTAAGGGTTCTTGTCCGTCCCGCCCTCTTTCCTTTCCTGTATTTAATATTGAAAGTAATCACATTGTGATCACTACTACCCAGTGTCTCCCCAATTACAATATCCTCGATTAATTCCCCATTATTAGTAATTATTAAATCTAGGATGGCATTTTTCCTAGTTGGAACCTCCACCATCTGTTCCAAGAAATTGTCTCGCAACAAGTTCAGAAATCGGCCCGCCTTTGTCGATCCTGAGGTACCATTAGCCCAATTGATGTCCGGGTAATTGAAGTCGCCCATCACGACTACATTGCCCTCCCTCCCAGCTATTTCTATTTGGGAGTGTAGATTTGCTTCCCCCTCCTCCCCTATATTCGGAGGCTTATAGCAAATACCCACAATAAGTTTACGGCTAGGGTCCGCCATATCGAGCTCTAGCCATAAGGTCTCCACATCTTCTCCACTGTTTGACGTGATATCGTCCCTTATATGCATATTTAGTTTTTAACGTAAATGCAAACCCCTCCCCCCTTCTCCCACATCTGTCCCTCCTGAATAGGTTATACCCCTCTATATTAGTAGCCCAATCATGTGTGCCGTCTAGCCAGGTTTTCGATATACCCACTATATCGAAGTCCTCTTCCGAGTATCAGAATTTCAAGCTCTTCTAATTTATTTACTAGACTTCTAGCGTTGGTGTACATACATTTAATTCCTGTCTTGTTATGGGACAAAAGTTTATATCCTACTTGTTCCCCACTAGTTTTATTGTTTGGCCTTGATGTTGGTTGTTCGTTTCTTATTTTATTCACTTCTGACAACTTATTTGCTACATTGACTGTTTCTGCTATTTTAACCTCGGTGATTACTTTAGCTGTGTTGACTGGAGTGAGCCCACTATCTATTCCTCTATTACTTCTTTCTGTATTATTATTTTTTTATCTCTAAGAAGAATTTATCTCCATTTGATTTAAGTAATTTTATTTTTAAGCCCACCCCCCCATTTCCTAGTTTAAAAGCTCCTCCAGTCTTTCTACCATTTTCCCCCCCAGAAATGCTGCACCTCCCCCATTAAGGTGCAGCCCGTCTCTGCTGTAGAGCCGGTAGCCGACTGCGAAGTCAGCCCAGTTCTCCAGGAAACCAAAACCCTCCTTCTGACACCAGCTCTGGAGCCACTTGTTAAGCTCCCTCAACTCGCGCTGTCTGTCCGGAGTGGCTCTTGGCACCGGCAGTATCTCTGAGAAAACTACCGTGGAGGTCATTTCCTTCATCCTAGCACCTAGGTCTCTGAACTCCTGTTTAAGGACACTC